CATTATTAAATGTTCGATTAAAAGCACGATTAAATGTTCTGGAACCACTGAGATATAACTAGTCTCATTTAGCACTGGTTAAGTGTTGTTGAGTCAAATACAACCCAGAGAAAGCTTTGCACAAAAGACCTAAACTTTTTTTTCTATGATTAACCTCTTTTCTGTACATTTATGAGTGAATGAGGTGGTAGGTTTTTAACACCACTGACTGATAGGCTTCTGACTCCTAGGACGCGTTTGGTGTGATTTCCCACCCCGGATGTGGTGGAGCGAATGCCTTGTTACTACAAGCTCTCACTATGAGGCAGTATCATCCTAATAGCAATGGGGAGAGTTTGGGGGTTTGGGTTGTGCTGATGGAGCCCTAGGGTAGTGTAAGCATCTAAACACATGCAACTGCTAGCCAAAAGGTTGGAGGTTCAAGTTCACGCTGAGCCTCCTCAGTAGAAAGGCCAGTGATATCCTCCTGGAGCCTCGGACATTGGCAGCCCTGGGGAGCATGCCCTCCTCCACACACACTGGACCTTTCCAAATTATTGAGGAGTATTGATGTCAATTTGAGGACTAAGGGGCATCTGATTCAGGCCATGGTCTTTCTGAGCACTTTCCATGCATCTGAGTGCTGGACAGTGAATAAGGATGACAGAAGAATTGATGCCTTTCAGCTGTGGCATCAGAGATAGAGCACTGAACATCACATGGACGGCCAGAAGAACACGCAAATGCATCTTGGAAAGTGGTAATTGGAGGCAAAGATGATAATGCTTTGCCTCACATATTTCAGGCATGTTGCTAGAAGAGTCTGTTACATAGAGAGGGACATCATGCTTGTAAAAGCAGGTTGACAAAGGAGAGGAAGACCCTCAACCAGGCAGATTGACACCCTGAGTGCCACCATGGACTCTAGTGTGTCAGGAAGTGTGAGAACAGCACACAAGATTGGATAGGATCCAGATCTGTTGTTCAGGGGGGTTGATGTGGGTCATACTCAAATCGACGGCACCTAACGACAACAACAGAAACCGTGGAAGATCACAGCATGACGTTGAGTTCATATGAGTGACTCAGCCAGGCTCAGACCTTCCTCTGCCGGCCTTGTCCCCTCTGTGGCCGCACTCGGTGGCTGTGCTGTCCGTCCCTCTGTGGAACCACACCAGCTCCCCAGTATTGTGTGACGTTATCTGGTCATGATTTGCTGTCATTGCGTCCAACAGCTATACTCATGTCCTGACTCTGTATCAACTTTGGTCCTTCTTGTGCTAATTCACATCACACTTTTCATCATACTTTTTGCACACTTGAGAGATCACAGTGCGGCAGAAACATAGCTTTTATGTTGTTGTTGTTGTTGTTGTTATTGTTGTGTGCTGTTGAGTCAGAACTGACTCATAGCCGACCCTCCAGTGGGTTTTCAGAGGCAGTTAATTGCATGGGAGGAAATTTCCCATCCTTCTCCCACGGAGCAGCTGGTGGATTTGTACCGTGTGCTTTCATATGTACTCAGAAACCACAAAGTCTGGTGACTCATTTTAAGCCAGTGATCTACAAAGGACCTTGAACTACCTCTGACGGCCTTGAACCAGCTTCCTTATGAAGGAGGTCTCATCTGGGCTCATGCCTTGTTTCATGTTCTTAGATTCCAAACAATATGTTTTCCCGCAGTCAAACTGAAACGATAATTCATTGAAACAGACACTAGCCTTTGCTCCTCCTCCTGTAACCCCCTTTATTGTCTGGATGTTTCCTTCTTCACTTGCCTCTTAAGTGGAGGAGAACCTGGCTTCATTCCCCAAAGCTCAGTGTCTGCTGCCAGCTGGAAATGCTTCCGTATTGTGTGAACATCGTGTTTTATAAGGTTAACACCATTGATCTATGCCCACTATTACCCTGCATTTTCAGGGCTGAGTCTTTCCTAATTCCTTCACACCCCACTTCCACTCCCCAAACTCTGTTATCCAAATAATTTCTTCCCCTTCTCACCCTCCGCCCTCCTGCCCACCTCCCTTTCCCCTTTTGGACATTTATATACATTTTAAGTTATCCTTCTATATACATTTTTATATATAATAGAAAAACTCCTCTATCCACTGAATATTATTTTTCTATTTCATTGAATTCTAATGTTGTTGTTGTTATTGTTGTTATGTACCACTGAGTCACCTGCAAGTACAGCGACCCTATGTACAATAGCTCTGAACCCTGCCCTGTCCTAAGCCAGTCTCACTGACTCTGACACACATAATCCCATTGTCCCAGTTACCATGTCAATTCATCTCATCCAGAACTTCCTCTCCTGTGCTGTCCCTCCACCCTTCCCAGTGTGATGTCCTTCTCCAAGGACCAGTCCTTCCTGGACACACGCCCAAAATATGTGAGATGAAGCTTCAAAATCCTAGCCTCCAAGGAGAAACTTAGTTTCACCCTCTCCAAGACAGACCTATTTGTTCTCCTGGTGGACCATGGTATGTACAATACTCTTCTCCAGCACTACAATTCAAAGACATCAATTCTTCTTCTGCCATCCTTAGCCATTGTCCAGCTCTCTCTAATTCATAGCATGTAATCGCAAAGACCATGGGCTGGGTCATGTGAGTTCTATCTAATACATAGCTGAAAAGCACTTTCTGATATTACTCAGAACCTTAAGTGATTCTATAGTATCACATTTGGTTAGCTTATCAGTTACATTGTACAAAGTCAAGTATGTGTCAAACACAATAAGACACTAAATGGAACGGGTTGTTGTTGTTGTTGTTGTTACTTGATGCTCACCTGGAACTGATTTATAGCTGATCTGCGGCTGGTTTTCAGAGGCTGTAAGTCACCCAAGAGGAGATTGCCCATCTTTCTCCTCAAATGGAAAGTAGTAATTTTCTTATGACCTTTAGGACAAACCAGAAAAGCAGGAATGTACAAGGCTTTAAATAAAGTTAAGGTCTCCTAAAACAAATGCTGTTAGTTTCCTAATTCCTCATAAATTAGTAGAAGTTCTCTTGCCAGCCTCCTAATAGTAAAACCGAGACCCTGCGGAAGCAATTACTGGGAAATCAGACAAGAAAGAAATGCATGAGCGAGGCAACTGGTTGGAGGGAGTAACAGAATCCTGCTAAGAAACTTCAAATCCACCTGAGTCCGCACATTCTGGGAAATTCCACCAGGAGCCAGTCTCTGCGGGAATCATACTAGAAGCCTCCCCTTCTCCTCACTCAAGACTTGCTTTCTGAGCCCCAGAAGCAAATAGTGACTAAATTTAGCAAATGGAAAGAAAAGAGGCAGGATGATTCCAAAATAGGTGCCCCTTCATACCATGCTGTCAGCCCTACTCTGTGTGAACCCAGGTGTAAGAACTGAAACCGCAGATCTCAGCTAAAACTCAGGCTTGACCATGTACAAGCTCCGGACCTTGAGAAAGTGCTGAAACTGTTAATAATACGTGTTTTCACAAAGCGATTCTCCAGGATTAATGGAGTAACATTTATGTAAACACAACACCACTTGTCCCTGTTCTGTCCATTCTGACTCAGGGCGACCCCCCAGCACCAGCAGGCCTGCCTGGGACGGAGGGAGAGGATTCCAAGGCTGAAACTGTTGCCAAAACCAATGTTTTTAAAGTATTTTCAATGAGCATGACAGAGATCCATGAGGCTGGCACAGAACAGGGCAAAGTTCAGATCTGTTGTTTGTAAGTTCACTGTGAGTTGTAGTTGACTTGACAGCACCTAATAGCAACAACAACATTTGCAATGAATAAATCATTCGTTGTACAAGATTCTACCATGTAGCCTCCAACCTCATGTCTGTCAGGAAGGGAGTATTTTCCAACTGCCATTCCTCCTCCTTTGTTTCCAATTGTCTCAGTAGCACCAATTGTTACTAATGCATCTGGACTGTATATACCATGAACTGTCAAGTACTAGCAAGTCTGTCCCGGATTTCCATGCAACCAGAGTACTCCTTAGAGGCAAGGATGGTGACATTTCATCTCATACTTTCAGCATGTTGTCAGGAGGGGACAGTTTTGGAAAAAGCCATCAAGCTGGGAAAGATAGAAGGTCAGAGAAAGAGAGGAGGAGGCTCAATGAGATGACCTGGCACAGTGTCTGTAACAACGGACTGGAGTGTACCAGAGTTTGTGAAGATGGCACAGGATAGAATAAGGGTCAAGTCCGTTGTTCATAGGGTCGACCGTACCTAACAACAAGGTTCACCACAGAACGCTGCCACATCCGCCCCTGGGGAGTGTCTCATGGGTTCAAGCTGCCAACCTTCCTGCTGGCAATTGTTTAACCACTGTGCCAATGTTTGTATCACAGACCCTCTGCCTCTGAGGTGATGCCAACTCTTGGCCTCACTCCCTCGGCTCCTGATGCTGGAAATCTTAACAGGAGCAGATGGCCCTTCCTCCTCCCACAAAGTGTCTAGAGGATACGAACTGCCAACCCCAGAGTTAGTAGCTTGATCTGTTGTTCACTACACCACCAGGGCTATGATTGCCCATAAATGTTAATCCCTTGAACCTCAGCTAATTTACTCTGAACCCATAGTCAGTAAAAGAGCAATTGCTACAAGAGGACATCACGTTAGGTGATAGAGGGTCAGGGAAATGAGAAAAGTCCTCGATGGGACGGCTCAGTGACACTTCAGCGAGACCAAGGGCTTTGGTGCAGGATGGCCTGTGAGCTGCTGTGTGCGACTTAAAGTCACCAGAGCTCAGCACCGACCCAACAGCGACTAACAATGACCACAAGCCTTTCTCAGCCCAGATACAGTACGAGTCAGCGTTGAAGAATGTGCTCCCTACACAAAGCAGCCCACCGTGGCCATTCCTAGTCTATGAACTGTGCCCAGTAATGCTGACAGAATGACAACAATTCATTACAGGAAATAGACTTACGTTTTCACAGTAACGTCATGAAGAATTAAAGTCATCCGTTCCCCCAGCTCCTAGTCTATGGATTTTACTGAGTCAAATAAACCTAGAAAAAGTACTGTTTACATTAGTCACATGACAAAAATATTACTGTTGCTTGTTGCATGCCCTCGAGTGAGAACCAGCTCAGAGCTGACCCTCCAGCGGGTTTTCAGAGTCTGTAGGTACATGGGAGGAGATTGCCTGTATTTCTCCCATGGAGCAGCTGGTGGGTTCGAACTGCCTGCTTCGGGGTTGGCAGAGCAGTGAAATAACGAGGAATTAAGTCATTGTCCATAAAATAGGACAGCTGTTTACTTAAGCAACTCTGGTGGCCTAGTGTTAATAATTTGTGCTGCAATCCTGAAGGCGCACGGTTCAAATCTACCAGCTGCTCCAGGATGAGCAATCTCCTCTCATGCGATTTCTGCCTCAGAAAACGTGCTGTCAGGTCAGCTGTGGGTCTTTTCCACCTTGACGGCACACAACAACAATGAAATAGAAACCATTGGTTTACCAACCCTCTGCAGAAGAAGTAAAAAATGACCTCAGATTTTATTTCTTGTTTAGAAATTGTAACTTGAGAAGTTCGTAGTGTGCTTTATGACCATTTTTGGAGTCTCTCCACACTGCTAGGCTGAGTTTGCTCTCAGATGCAGTTTTTAGAATACCCAAAGCAGCTGTCGCTGGTCGGTCCCAGTGCCCATCGGCCCCTGTGTGCGGAGGGAACTGCCACGTAGACTCTTCAAGTCTGTGACCTGTAAGAAGCCTGTAAGGTGGCCAGGCCGTTCTCCCAGGGCACCCCTGGGTGGCTGCATGTTAACTGATTGCACCCAAGCACTCCGACTTCTGGACTGGAGTTTTCTCAGGGGTGCGGCAGGGTCTGCGAAGGAGCCGCTAATGCATCAGCGTGTCCTCTGCCGCCCACAGGTGGGTGCATGCACATGAAGTGTCCGCAGCCGCAGTGCAAGTTCGAGTGGTGCTGGAACTGCAGCCTGGAGTGGAACCGCACCTGCATGGGCGACCACTGGTTCGATGCCTAGTGCCGCCACCCGCCGTGTGCTGGGGGCACAGACCCGAGTGTGTCCTGCTTGTCACACACACACACACACACACACACACACGCACAAATTCTTCTCACACTGATTTGACACCTAGCACCATCGTCAGCCGTCTGCTGGGAGACACAGACCCATGTGCGTCCTGCCTTTTACACACACACACACACACACACACGTACACGTACACAAACGCACATACACACTTCATATTCTCCTCACACTGGTCTGACATCTGGTGCCGCCACCGGCCATGTGCTGGGAGACACAAACACGAGTGTGTCCTGCCTTTCACACACACACACACGCACACACTCACACTCTCACATATGCATGCGTACACACACACTACACACTCTCCCCACAGTCACACAATTGCAGTTTCTATGGCACACACCCCTGTCCCTTTCCTCAGGTGCCTGAAGAACATCAGAGCCCAGAGCGAGACACTTCTCCAGACGTCAAGTGCGTGAATGAGGTCAAGTGCGAGGTCAAGGGCAGTGCACATCCCAGAGTCAATGCAGAGCGCACCTCTTGTGTGGATGGTCGTTGTCGAGATAGGCTGAGCCAGGCTGACAAGAACACAGAGGGACTTCTGGGGGCCAATCCCATGCGCCTGACCACAGAAACCATCAGCAAGAAATCGTTGGTGGACAACAAACAGTCTGTTTGCTTGGTCGGGGGACGGGGGTGGTTTAGGGGTTGGGGGCACTGTTGACGGTTCTGCCAGGTTGATGGTGATGGCTTCACCAAACTCATTGCACAGCTTTAAAGGAAACGCTTTCATTCCCGTAGCAGAGCATGTCCATTCTCAAAGGGCTGTAGGTGCCCAGCGGTGCTTGTTTATCCCAAAGAATTTGCCTTTGTAAAGTCACCGAGGAGGGATGCCTCCCACCAGCCTAGTGAGAAACCAGCCAAGTTACAGCAAATGGTGAATGTTCTCCTGACAGGAAAGAAGTCAAAACATACGTGCTTTTCATTCTGTTTAATTCTTTGCAATTCTGGAAAGCAATCTCCCCCCCATAAAAGTATTAGAAAATGTACAGTTTTAAATATATATTTTGCAACTCAGGGAATTAGCTAATTTATCTGGCTTCACAGTGAATATAATGAGAGGTCTTCAAGGGAGAGATGATTTTATAATGATTCCGAATGTTAACAAACGTGCAGGTTATTAAATCAGAATCTTTATGGAGCTGGTGCTCCCAGGGCTGTGAAAATGAACATAGCCCTGGCTCTGGCCCTACCCCTGGCTCTGGCCCTGGCCCTGGCCCTGGCCCTAGCTCTGCCCATGGCCCTGGCTCTGGCCCTGGCTCTGGCCCTGCCCCTAGCCCTGGCCCTGCCCCTGGCCCTGGCCCTGGCTCTGAGGAGCATTGAGGCCACTGCCCACCTGTGCTGGTTCCTGGTCTCCGAGCACCAGGAGGCGCTGTGCATCCGTGGGAAATTTCTGAGGCTGTTTCTTTGGCTGGCTGGCTCCAGTGTCCATCAAGTTCCCGGCGTGCTCTGAGCGCTGATGGTAGATCAGAAGGGCACAGATGTCAGTGTTGGCAGCTGTATTTGCTGCCGCCCAGCCTGTAGATGCCAAAGCCCAGGAGCTGTCTATTGTGGGCACTGAACTGCCCATCTACTCAGGAAGATCATCTGCGTATCGAACATCAGAGAATCACCAGCACAGGGATCAGGGCGTCCACAGCACGGCTTCTGTCGGTAGACATTGAACAGGAAGTCCTTGCTTGGGATGGTCTCAGAAAATGTCCCAAGGTCACGTCATTAAGCAGTGTCTTCCCTCTTTTTTGAAAGCCTCGGTTCGTCTTGTTATTTCCACTCTCCAGTGTTTCTTCTCCCTTCTCTGCAGACACAGGTGAGGTGGGTGCTATAACAGCCACATGTGCATCCAGGGCTCTTTGGACCACCTGTCAGAAACCCCTCCCACCACAGCATGGCCCAGGAGGCCCCACCTACTGTCGTTAGTGTAGGGGAACCCAGAGATAGAGCAGAGAGAGCCTGTGTGACAGGAGATGCCAGACGGTGAGGGGGACCAGATGGGCAGGCAGGGGCCACCCCAGGGACAGGTGGCAGGTGCCTAATCAATCCCTGTCTTGAATCCCCGACAATCTCCACATTGGCAGCTCCTGATGTGACAGGTCGGACAGCTCCCACCTGCCCCTTGGAGAGTATTCCAGGCTGCAGCATCCGCAGCTTTCTTTGAAAAGCACATCTTCACTCTCACCTCCTCCCGAATGTGTGTGGTTTGTTGTGTTTGCAGCACTCGGACAAGCTCTCCACACACCCCACACCCCACCCCCCAAAAGATGGGTCAGGCCACTGCAGACGTTTCTAGAGCCGCTGAGGGTTCCTGGCTAGTCTTTTTCTTGCTTGATGGTGGCCTTTTATTTTTTCCTAGAATAGAATGGTGAAACTTGAAATAAAGAGAAAACAGCCACTATTGATGGGCATGAGTCACAAGCAATATTCTTTGAACATAAGCAATGTAACTAAGAAACTATGTCAAGTGGGCAGAAATGGAATTCTTGTAGAAGAATCTGGATAAGTCTCTGGAATTTGGAAGATCTTTGACAACTGTATCTGAGTTTGGGCAAATTTATCAATAAAACCATTGCAAGAGCTTGTGACTCTGTCTTTAGAGATGTTATTTGTTTTGTGTTTTTTTTTTATCTTATTTCTTTGGTAAAAGTTTACATATCAAGCTAGATATCCACCTGACAATGTCCATACAAATCATTCCCTAACATCAGCGATATTTGTGTTGGCATTTTCTTCCGTGTATCTGGTTGTTCTGTGTCTGGTCCTGTAATTTCCCTCTGATCATCTCATCTTTTGGTTTTGAGTAATTGCTGAACTTTTAGGTCTCGTACTGATGGAGTGGAACTCATTCTTTTTAAAAAACAAACAATTCCCACGTCCCTTCCCCCCACCCCCCACCCCTAGTACACTTCTCTATGCACCCTTAATTCTGGATTCCTGTGCTAACCATAATACTCAATCATATATCACTTCTAATCAGTTCTTTCCCTCATCTGTTTCAATATACATAATTTATCCAGTTTTTTTTCTGTCATACCCCCACCCTGATGTCATTTAGAAGATTAAGTGTACACATTTTTGGGTATAATTTGTAATCTACTTTTAAATAATTTAATATAATCTTACAGATAAACTTTAATTTCACTATATAATTGTGTTATACTAGATAATTTCTATTTCTTATAAAAGTTAAAATTTAATAAAATCTTTCTCAGCTAAAAAAAATATGAAAACATGAGAGAAACAACAACAACAACAAAAAAACCAGAAAAAAGAGAAACTGCAACAGTAGAGAAAGGTGGACTCCTGAGACTCTTTTCCTAAGACGCTTTAAACTAGAACAGAGCCTGTCCCCCGAGACTGTTCCTAGAAAAGCACAGTCCTGCCACCTGCCTGCAGTGCAGAAGCAACTCGGATCCGTCCTGAAGGAAGTCCAACCACGGTGCCCTTTGGGGGATAATGAAGCCTGGCCGTGTTGTCAGGAGAAGCCAGTGCTTAGGAAAGGCAGAGGGTCGGAGAAAGAGAGGAAGACCTTCAACAACATGGACTGACACTGAGACTTAACGGAGTTCTTATCGATTGTTCATTGGTCAATGCTGCCCAAAAAACCCCAATCTTGCATCAGGGCTTGGGCTGTGGAAAGCACAAGTTTTATTATAAATGAGAGCATACAGGGGTCTGAACTTCCCAAATCTGTCTCGAGGAAAGAAGTTTCTGGAGTATTTCTAGGCAAGGTTAAGGGCTTAGGGAAGAGCTCATGTTTATCCACCACAGGAGGGAAAGGTGGGGTTATCGTCCAAAAAGAAGAGCTGTGCACACCGCTGGCTCTAAGACAATGTCCTTATGGTCAGCTGTTCGGTCATCCCTGGACATGTCCTGGAGGTCTTCCTCCTCCAACATGGCGCCTCTCCAGTTAGACGCTTGGTCATCGCAAGACGTGCCCTTGTCAGATGGCTGCCATCCAGAAGGTCATGCAGGGGGCACTCACAGGGCACCTGAAAGCTCTTGGCAGAATTAAAGGTTGGTAAGAGAAAGTACCTGGGGGTGTGAAGGCTACAAATGTAAGGTGTGTTCCTGGGCCTGTGATGCCTGCATTGGCAGTTTGGTCTGAACTGTCTCTGGGATGGGTGGGGTGGGGGGGATTTAGCACATCATGTAAACAGGAAAACAATAGAGAAAATAGGAAAGTCCGTGAGTCACAGCAAACCTAGCAGCGATTCTGTTAAAATTTAAAACAATCACATTTTCCTTCCTATTCCCTAAAAAATATTTTTTGATACAAAGTTAGAATATCCTATGATTGTTGTAGTTGTAATGTGCTGTTGAGTCACATGCGACTCATAGCAACCCTGTGTACAACAGCCCTAAATCCTGCTCTATCCTGTGCCAGTCTTATTGTCTCCAACACACCCACCCCTATGAGTATGTTAATAGAAAGGAAGTGCCTATCAACAGATGAATGGATAGAGAAGCTCTGGTATATTCACACTATGGACTATTATGCAGCATTGAAAAAAAAGGAACTCATGAAATATTATGCAAAATGGATGACACTGGAGGACATTATGCTGAGTGAAATATCTCAGTCACAAAAGGACGAATATTGCATAGGGCCACTGTTGTAAAACGAGACTGACATTAGGGTTGAGGGAAGACAGAAAAGGAGGGGAGGAATGATGTATATACTGCATTGAAACAGATGAGGGAGAGAACCGTTTAAAAGGGACATATGATTGGGTATTCTTGTCATTACAGATGTCCAGAGTGAAGGTTGCATGGTGGAGTGTACTTGGGGGGAGGGATTGCATTACACAAAGAGTTTTGTTTTTCTTTTCAAGAAGAGTGAATTGTGGGGGAGGGGTGGGCAGGGAGAAAAGTGCAACAATGAATGACTGGAAACCCTAAGTCTCTGTAAACTTGCATTAAAATTAATTTAAAAAAAAATTTTTAAAAAAAGTAACATTAAGCAATGAATGAATGGAATCCAAAATCTCTGTAAATGTTCATTAAAATTATTAAAATAAATTTAAAAAAAAATAACATTAAAAACAGACAGGAAGTAACTATAGATGGCAGTGTGGAGAGGCAGACCGTCAACAAAGGATTTTACCCTGAGAAGGAGGTCTCCCACCTTCAGGAAGTTGCCCTTCCAGACTTACAGAGCACTCTTCCCTTTAAGAACATGATTCAAGAAATGAAGCACATTATTCAAGAAACATTCATTTTCTGTTGCCTTCTTGACAATTGCAAGTTTACCTTTATTGAAAGAGGAGCATGAAATCCACCAGATGCTCTGCTGGAGAAGGAGGGACAATCTCCTCCTGTACCAGACAGATCCAATTTGACAGTACACACACACAAAAATAATAAAATTTTAATTTTTTTTTTTAAAAAGGAGCATGACAAATAAGATGCATTTTCATTATCCAAGTGATGGGAACCCTGCCCCAGCATGATCTGGTGACAGTATAGCCACTTCCGTCTCCACTCAGAGCTCAGTTACCCTGAGTGTTTGTGTCATTAAAACAGGCTCCTTTCTCAGAGGCTGTTGTGTACCATGGAGTCAGAACCAGACCAGAGCTGACCCTACACCAGATATCAGAGACAGCAAATCACACAAAAATGATGGGGTGGTATTGATAAGTTCAGAATTCTCTATATATGTATCAGTTATGGAACTATCGTTATAAAATTGGCATCCCTTTTCTCCAGCCTGAAAGGCTAATAGCTTGACCTTAGAATGCTTAGTGTCCTTTCTTTAATCTGTTTATGGAAAAGGAGATGCATCTTCTAGATTAGCTGTCATCTCTTTGAAGCTGTTTTTCCCAATCATGTGTAAATTGTAACTTAATCTGCCTGTTTGCTAGGGAAAGGGAGTATCTGGGTGTGAGTGATTTTTGGATATAGAAATTAAAAGCCGGTGACCTCTTTGAGTCAGACCCACTGTCCTCCACTGATCTGTAATAAAGTGCTTATGGATATTGGAATCCGTTTGTCTTACTGGCGATTGACTATGGAAAGAATCCCTTGTGTTCAGTAACAAAAAGAGATGACCCTCCCTTCTCCCACAGAGCAGCTGGTGGATTCAAACCACATACCTTTGCACTGGCAGTGCAGTTCCTCACCACCAAGTAATCGGAGTCAAAGTAAATAAAGCAAATCTTTGTTCAGAATATCTGTTTTTTTCTTGACTATCAAACTTTCTTCATATAAATGTTTCACATGGATGTTTGGGTGGAGAAAGGTCAACAGCATTTTTATCTCCACCTCTGAAGGTGTGCATGTGTACAAAAGCTGGACCCTGGACCTTGAGGAAGGAGGCCTTTGAAGTGTGGGCATGCTGTGGTCAGGAGGCGTGGGCACGCTGTGGTCAGGAGGCGTTGTGTCAACTTCAGCTCGTGGCGACCTTGTAAGCCACAGATCGGCACCCTGTCTTATCCTGTACAATCCTCAGTGTCTCTG